ATTAAAAAGCAGAGACATTACTTTGCCAACAAAGGTCCATCTAGTCAAGGCTATGGTTTTTCCAGTAGTCATGTATGGATGTGAGAGTTGGACTATAAAGATAGCTGAGCACCAAAGAATTGATGCTTTTGAACTGTGGTGTTGGAGAACACTCTTGAGAGTCCCTTGGACTGCAAGGAGATACAACCAATCCATCCTAAAGGAGCTCAGTCCTGGGTGTTACATTGGAAGGACTGATGTTGAAGCTGAAGCTCCAATACTTTGGCTACGTGATGCGAAGAGCTGACTCATTTGAAAAGACCCTAATGCTGGGAAAGATTGAGGGCAGGAGGAGAGGGGATGACAGAGGATGAGATGGTTGGATGGCATCACCGACTCAGTGGACATGAGTTTTGGGTAAGCTCTGGGAGTTGGTGATGGACAGGGAGGCCTGGCATGCTGCAGTTCATGGGGTCGGAAAGACTCGGACACGACTGAGCGACTGAACTGACTGACTGACTAATGCTCTTCATGAATAATATTTATTAAAGCTCTATTTATTCAATTTATGCATTTAAACAAAAACAGCAATTATGGATGGCTTATTTTATTTTATATAAAAAGGAATATTATAAATATAAAAGCAAAGCATACCTTGAAATTTAGGGGACATGCGTGCATGCGTGTTAAGTCATTTCAGTCACGCCCGACTCTGCAACCCTATGAACTGTAGCCTGCCAGTCTCCTGTGTCCATGGAATTTTCCAGGCAAGAATACTGGAGTTGGTTGCCATGCCCTCCTCCAGGGGATCTTCCCTCCCGAGGGATTGATCCTAGGTCTCTTTTGTCTCCTGCATTAGCAAGTTGGTTCTTTACTACTAGTGCCACCTCGGGAGCCCCAAATTTAAGGGACATATATTATCAGCTCTCCACCGTTGCTGTATAAAGTACAGCTCTAGGTATTGAACACTTTAATATCTCCCAACATTGTTTACTTACAGGACTACTCGAACCCCTGTTAAATAAAACTAAGTCTTTAAAATTCAAATATATGCATATAATTATCACACACCTTAAGGAAGTAAAAATTAGAAGTCATTTTACACACTTAATTATAAAACATTTCTCAAGGGCAGAAACATAAAACTAATCAGTGTATATTGACGTACAAATAGACGATTTGTAGCAAATAAAGTAAGAAACTATGCTCAGGAAACATCCATTGCTTCTGTTATCATGAACTGCAAGAATTTTAGCATTTTCATTGGCCAGGTGAAGAGTTCATTTATCTGAATAAGGAGAATCAGGATAATTGGGTTTTCAGAAAAAGACCCCTACCCTTCCAGGCTTTATCACATTACTAAATTTCTCTAGGAATTAAGTTCAAAATGTCCAGAATGGTTTTCAACTCATAGGCTACGTGTATGACTTTTCTTATCACTTGAATATTTATTTCCTTATTTGTGGAATTCTAGGACAAAATCTTTTAGTGAAGATTAGAAGTACAATTTTCAGAATAAATATAAAAAGAATGTAGACATGTATTTTGCTTGCCATCCTCCTAGATGGAAATTGATTAAAAATGGTACATGAAGGACTGGCAAAAATGAATGAATGGTAGATGCCTCATGGGTCCCAGGGAAGGTATTTGAGGTTGTTGGTGTACATTCCTGAATGCTTTAGTTTGGTTTTATGGAGGGTGGCCATATTATCCCTGGGCCCTACTTCTAGATACCATTATCAAACAGAATGATGAGCAGCTGAAGCTGGGGGTGCAACCCAGTGTGGTGTTTCTTATGTTCTAAACTTCAGGTATGAAAGGCTGGGCTATTCACAGACCAAATGTAAGTAGGTCACAATTCTTTATAATAGGAAGCTTTTAAACAAACCTCACTTTTTTTTTTTTTTTTTGATGTTCAGATGTTACATATACATTTTTCAGTGGTAGGAAGCTTTAAAAACATTACACGTACACATGATGAATTACGTGAATATCTAAACTAGGACACAAAATTGGGAGAATTTATAAGTCAACTTATGCATGGAAAAACTAACCAGCAAAACTGGGTAGCTACTGCTTTTTGAGTAATTACCACATGCTAAGCACTGTTCTAATTGCTTTACATGTATTAACACATTTAACCTTCATAACTTTATGAAGTAGGTGTAATTATGATCATCTCATTTATTAGGTGAGGAAATTGAGCCACAGAAAGTTAGGTTAATGGCTTGTTTACCTAATGGCAGCATCACGCAGATAGGAAGTGGTGAAGTCAAGCTTTGATCTAAGGTACTCTGGCTCCTGAGCCCAAGTTCAGACCCAACATGCCATGTCATCCTCTATAATAATTATGTAGAGAATTCTCTGGCAGTCCAACGATTAAGAATCTGTGCATCCGCTACAGGGGGATGGGTTTGATCCCTGGTCACAGAACTAAGATTCCGCAAGCTGTGCTGTGCAGTCCTCCCCACAAAATAGAAAAAAATTATGCAGTCACTAATTCATATGAAGTAAGATATACCCAACTGATGATGGCCTTGTTTTTTAAACTATGTACTACAATAAAATCTTTAAGATTTGTTCATTTTTACTGAGTTCATAATCATTTGAAAAAAATTAATGAAATTTAAAACTGTCAATAACTATTTTGAGAAGAAACTATTTTGTAATTATTTTGAAAACAGAAATCATGCTTCTGTATAAAATATCCTCTTAACCAAAAATGTTTTCTATGGTCATGATGATTATTCTTACTTTCAGTCATTCTGTCTCAGGGACCATTGTTGGTGAATGTGCTTGGTTGAGAGTCAAGGAAAGTTTTGAGATGCTCTCTCTCTTAGAAGTCCACATGGCATTTGAACAAGCCTATCTCATCAATGCCAAGACTGCATCAACTAATTATTCATAAGACATAATGTATAGTCCGGGCTTCCCTGGTGTCTCAGGCAGTATAGAATCTGCTTGCAATGCAGGAGCCTGGGGTTTGATCCCTAGGTGGGGAAGGTGCCCTGGAGAAGAGAATGGCTACCCACTCTAGTATTCTTTTCTGGAGAATTCCATAGATGGAGGAGCCTGATGGTCTATGGTATAGTCAAGGAAATATCTTACTATATTTAGACTGTTGGCCTTTTTAAACCTTGTTTTAAATTAAATATTTCGATATTGATGTCGAGGTATTTTAATGCCAACATTTATTTTGATAGAAGCAACATTTAATGTATGAAAAAGCATACATATCTGAGAGACATATAAATCAAGATGAAGCAGAAGACTTGCAGTTGACATCACAGATATTCAGAACTGTGTCTTAACTAGATGGAAGGTATAGCACTTTGGAGGGAATTACGTAGCAAACTTTGCTTTAATATGTCCAAGTTAATTCACAAGATTGCTGGGGGGAAATTTATAAATTATTTCAGTAAACAAATTATTTTTGAACACCCTCAAGCTGGAGAAAAAGGCAACTATTTACCTGCAAATAATTGATATGCTAATTTTGGATAATTCTCTAGGCATTAAACCAAATCTCCTGTGCACCACTGTTATGGTAGTTCTTTGATTAGTTTGAATTGTCTCAGTCACTTGCAACTTTTTCAAAGATTATATTTCCCTGAAAATATCTCATAATTTAACATTTCCACTCTTTCTGGCTATTCTTTCCTTGGTTACTCCAAGGAGTTACTCCTCTCATTAACCTATATTAACACTTTAAAGGGTGCATATTTTCTATTCTTATCTGTAATTCTGTGAAAATAAAGCAGTTGTTTAATGGTTAGTAATATGAGTGCAAAAGTATTAATATATCCCCACTGAAATATTAACATAATTTAATGTTCATTCAATAAAATTAAAGTAGCTAACAAGAAATAGGATTCTTACTTACATTTTGAACTGATGGTTACAAAGGGCTTTGTTATATGTTCTGTAAACACAAACTCCACAATGATTTTAACAGTTTTAAAATTCTGTAGACAATATAAGCTACTCAATTTTAAGTCTTTATTCTTGAAATCCTACTTTTTTGTTTAGGTGAAAAATAACTGAATATTTGTGTCCACTCCTAAATTCCTACGTTGAAGCCCTAATACCAGTGTAATGATATTTGGAGATGGATCCTTTACGCAGTATTGGTTTGGCCAAAAAGTTTGTATGGGTTTTTCCATGGTACAGAAAAATCTGAACAAACTCTGGCCAAACAAATAATTATGTCATGAGAGTAAAGTCCTTAGGGTGAGGTTAACATTTTTTTAGAAGAGACATCAAAGAGTTTGTTTTTTATATTTTTTCTCTCTTTCTCCACCATGTAAGGGTCCAAGGAGAAAATGGATGTCTGCAAACCAGGAAGAAGGCTCTCCCTAGAACCCAGCCATGTTGGCACCTTGATCTTTGACTTTTGGCCTCTGGAACTGTAAGCAATAAATTTCTGCTTAAGCCACCCAGTTTGTGGTATTTGTTGTAGCAGCCTGAGCAGACCAAGATAAAGAAGGAAATATAATAATCTAATTTGTCCTGAATTCTATATAACATTAGCTATTGACCTATATTAACATGTAGTGAAGATATATGAGCAGAATGTACAGTGCAGAAGATACACTTATACCAAGGAAAATAGGTAATAATGTTTATCTTAAATTACATAGGTGGGCTTCCCTGGCGGCTCAAACAGTAAAGGATCCACCGACAATGCAGGAGTCCCAGGTTCAGTCCCTGGGTTGGGAAGATCCCCTGGAGAAGGGAATGGATACCCCTTCTAGTATTATTGCCTGGGGAATCCCATGGAAGGGGAAAATGGTGGGCTACAGTCTATGAGATGGTAAGAGTCGGACACGACTGAGCAACTAATTTAAATTACACAGATGCATTTAGACTCTTTTGATTTTATAATTTGACCTGTTTTGTTACCACACCTGTGAACTTCTTGTGTATTTCAAGTTTTACAGCATGTAAATATGGACAACTACTAATGGGATAGAGCTGAAATTGTGAGAAATACTCAATTATAAAAGTATAAATAACATCACAAGTAATACTTTGGCTCTCTTTAAATTTTAGTGGAATTAGATGCCACGTAAGCTAAGATGTACGAGAGAGAGGATGGATTATAAAGTAAATCTTAGGTTTTCCTTATCATTTCTTAGAAATCAAAATCAATTTAAGACACCAGTTTTCAATAGTATTCTCATGTATAAGTAGAATACAATGATATGTAATATCTGGTGCAATAGAGATCCATGACTTCTAGCCTCCTGAGACATCTATCGTCATGAAAGAGATGAAGAACATCAGCTCATGAGTTATGTAACCTTGAGACAATTTCCCATTTCTACCTACAAGTATGAATAAATGCCATAATACAGATCAACTATCATTTGTTATATACAAATATGTGGTTCTTTTTTGGACATTTTTCTGGATCTAAATAACTACAGGTGACATTTCTGAGAAATGAACTGTCCTGAATTCAATAGAGAAAGTAGAAGAGTCTATGTCTCCATTAACTCCTGAGAATTTTCATCATTTGAGTTTTCTCCAGACAGCCTGATGATCTTTATTTTCCCTGAACTCACATGAACTGTGACAGTCACTTGGCAATTAATTGTGCATGGAGTTAATATGTAGTCCGTGTATGTTTCAGGACACATGTGGGGCTAAACAGGGAGGTACTGTTGTTCTGGTTCCCTGGGAAACATACTCAGAAATGATGAGATTTACATGAAAGAAATTTATTTGGGAATGCTTTGGGGAAGATTGGAAGTAAGAAAAGGAGAAAAAGGCAACGGGAAAACTGGATCATCAATGCAGAGGCAGCTAGTCCTTCAGAGAAGGGCTGAAGTTGGCAAAGCAGCCCTCTGCCTGGGGGGAGCTTTCCCCGGTGTTTGGGGAGTCAGCCCATCAGTAGTTAGTACTTCTGACAACTGATGAGACCAGAGCCTTGGTCCTGAAGTAGGCTACCTGGGAGCTACACTCCAGCATTCACTGCAGGAAGTAGCAGAATGCATAGATGAGTGTCATAGCATTTAGAGTTAGGTGGGCTGGTTGGAAACTGGTTTCTACCACACTAGACACCAGATAGGTCACCTTGAGCAAACTACTTAACTTCTCTGCTCCTCTTAACTGGGGATAAGAAATCTGCAGGCATCTCATGGGGTTATTGTGGAAATGGATGGATGAGTTAACACATGTAAAGCATACAGTGGTTCCTGGAATATCGTGAGCCCTTTGCAATTGTCAGCTATTATTATGAGACGTTGCTATAAAACAATGAAACTATTTTTAAAACTAACTTACCCGTATGAATATTTGTTCCTGTATAGGTCAGAGGGGGCTATTAATAAATAAACTCCAACAACTCTAGTTGCTTAAAATAACAAGGATTTATTTCTTGGCCACGCTACATCATAGGTTGGCTCTAGGACCCAAGCTGACAGAGGAGCCACTAGCTGGATCATTGCCAGTGTGGCAGAAAAAAAAGAGATAGTATTTGAAATGCTGACTCTTAAAACTTCTACCTGGAAGCGATCCATGTCTATTCCACTCATATTTCACTGGTAAAAATTAAACATGTGAGTACACATAACTCTAAGCGGTGGGAAGGGAGGTATAACCCCACCCTTTGTCTGGAAGGAAAAGCTGAATAACTTCATAACAGCACTAATGACTATCAACAGTTTAATTTTTAAAATTACATGGCACTAGATACACTTATTAATGATAGACAACTTTTCTTGAACACTTAATGTGTGCCAGGTACTATGATAAATGGCAATACTATGAAATAGACCCCTATTAATATCCCAGTATTGTACATTAAAAAAGTACTGAGACTTTTTTAGTGTCAGCCCTAAAACTTAGAGAAACCCAATAAACAGCACGAATCCAGTTGGTGGCTAATGTGAACTCAAACTCAGGTCTGACTGTAAAGCCCACACTTGTAACTAACACTCGATGTCCTCATAAGAACTTCAGTGACACCAGTATAGCTCACAATATCTTCAAAAAAAAGCCCCAATTTTTTTTTTAAAAGGAATTGCTGTTAGAAGCTATTATTTAGAGGGTCTTAACCCCCAAAGTGTATGAAGTCTCAAACATTGCGGAAGATTTTTACATGCTCCCATGATGGTGTTCCTTGTTGGCTCAGCTGGTAAAGAGTCTGCCTGCAATGTGGGAGACCTGGGTTCATCGATCCCTGGGTTGAGAAGATCCCATGGAGAAGGGAAAGGTTACCCACTCCAGTATCCTGACCAGGAGAATTCCATGGACTATACAGTCCCTGGGGTCGCAGAGTCAGACACGACTGAGCCACTTTCAGTTTCATGATGGTATTGAATGGGTAAATAAATAAGTCAAGTGCCCCTCTTCCTTTGGTTAACTTGATCAGTAAGATGGGGACTCCAGCTTCTTTCCCACAAGATGTGCAAGGGTCATCTTCCTTCCAGACCTGGCGATTATGCACATAACTTCCGTTCACATTCCATTGACCAGAAGCTCATCATGGGCTGCTGCTGACCACAAGGAAGGCTGGGGAGGGGAGTCATCCTTGTGCAGAGTGAGTCTTGCTCAGGATACGTTGACGATGCTTTATATTTTCATGGGATTGAAGAGACTTAGTGTTAATCACTCAGTCATGTCCAACTCAGAGACCCTGTGGACTGTACCTACCAGGCTCCTCTGTCCATGGGATTCTCTAAGTAAGAATACTGGAGTAGGCAGCCATTCTCTTCTCCAGGAGATCTTCTTGATCCAGGGATCGAACCTGGGTCTGCTGCATTGCAGGCATATTCTTTACTGTCTGAGCCAGCAGGGATGAGACTTAAAAGTAGAACAAATATAGTTGAGGTTAGCAGGGCATGATCTCAAAGTTGCCCCCTTTGAGGTTGGTTTGCATTCCTCTCTCTTTTCAGTCCTCTGAGCAGTGTCTTATTTGGATTTACACCACTCTTTAACATTTAGTGTCCTGCATTTAACATGCATTATAGTTTGCCTTTGTGCTAACAGCAAGGTTATAGTTGGCCTTCTTTATCTCTCCTTTAATTGCTATGTGAGATGGTGTAATCTATTTATAGTATTAATGCAGGAAGATACAGAGGACATTCTGTAATAAACATACACAAGGCAGTGATGGGACCCAGAGGAGGGTTTTATATGCCATTGGGCCAGCACTGTGGGCTGCAGGGACCCACCACGCCACCAGACAGCTTTGCTCTGGGAGGAGGGCAGCATATTCAGTCTGATTCTCTAGAGCAAGGGTCCCCAACCTCCAGGATCTAATGCCTGGTGATCGGAGATGGAGCTGATGTAATAAGAATAGAAATAAAGCACACAACAAATGTAACGTGCTTGAATCATCCTGAAACCACCCCCACCCCCACCCCCACTGCTTGTCCTTGGAAAAGCTGTCTTCTACAAAATGGGTCCCTGGTGCCAGAAAGGTTGGGATTCGTTGCTAGAGATGGTCCCTTAAAGACTATGATTGAATTTTTAAGGGTTGCATAGGGCAAGTAATAGGGGAATAAATTGTAGTGGAAGAGAATTTTGCAAGTTGTTGCAATGCACTGTGAGATTTAGCCCTTGCTAACTTTTAGGAACTTTCCCCTTTAGTCTGGGAAGGTGTTGTTGTATTGTCCACTCTCATGATCAGTCATAAAGTGGCTTAAGATTGGATTCTGTATTATCCCATGATTCTAGGATGAGCACCACTGCTGGGGATATAAGGGGACCAGTAATGCACATCACTTTAACATCGTTAAAACGCTTTCACGGGTATAATTTTATTTTGATTCTGTCCACTAGGAAGGGTGAGGGTCTATGTTTCTCACATTCAACTTTGTATTTCTAGCAGTCCAGGGTTTGTATGTTTTTTCCATGGAACATGTATTAACAGCAGCTCTAAAAGTTAAGAAGGCAGGTATCTGCATCACTCTTTGTAGAAGAAAAAAATGGGCTCAGTGAGATTATATGACTTTCCTTAGGTCACATAGTTGGTAACAACACACTGAATTTTGAAGTAAGTTCTTCTGATTTATGTTTTGTTATTCTTTTCACCCATCTATGCTGCTTATCACATTTTAAAAAAATGTACTCAGGAGTATCAAACATTCATTCCTTGAGGATAAATTCCAGTCTTGGAAATAGTCAAAAGTAGTCTAGTATTAAATGTGGTAAAGAGTTGGTGGCCAAGTTAAACAATGTTATTTTTGATTTTTAAAAGTGAGGTGTATCTATAAACTGACACCTTTTTTGAGACTCATAAACTGGCACATAATACATATCTCTTAAGTATTTGTTAGTTTTGAGAAAAATGCAAAAATATTTAAAAACTCGTATCTTGATGATGAAGCCATGAAACTTTTACCTATAGTAAGATCAGAACCAGACCCCAGGAAATTGAAAACAGAAACTCA